CCTTGGCCCCGCGCTGGGGGCTATAAATACCCTCTATTCCTAGATGGTCAGATATTCATTCTTTTACCCATACACACACTTTTGCCTGCTCGTACTACCACTCACTTTAACATCGGAGTGCCTTGCAGGTACCCCCCCCCCCCCCCATCTCGTTCAACTTTTGTTCGGAACCAGTCGTGACGGTCCAAGTCTGATCAGGTAAGATCAATTTCCAAGCTTGGTTATATAGAGCCTGTGATTTTCACAGTGAGAAATGGATTTGGTTTTGGCGCATGATATGTTATCGCTTCAAAGACTCCTGATTATTGTTGGTTTCGACTATGCAATGGAGTTGGCTTTGACGGAGAGAAGGTACACTCCACCAGGATGAATTTAGTTAAAGGTAACATTTGAGCAGAGCCCATTTGTTCTCTCTTCACTACAAGAAAAAAGCCCTTTAGCTAGGGGTTTAACTTCTCACTAAGTCAAAAAACACTTCACAAAATCAACATTTGCGAGGGGTTATGTCCCCTAGCTAAATCACTGATTGCAGACAAGGGCTGAGGGGCTAAGCACCTAGCCAATTAGCTTGGGGCTAAACCCCTCGCTAAAGGCAAAATTTGATTGATCATTGGCTAGGGGCTTTACCCTAGTTAAATACCATGCTGCTTTTGGCACATGTGCTCAGTAAACACAGAGTGTGTAGGAAGGAAGCGTGCAGAAAGGTGCACAGTACAGGCGACATTAGCTGGGGGTTTATCCTAAGCTAAAAATCAAAATTTATTTTTTAAATTATAAACGTAATTATTTAATTTTTTTAATTATTATTATATTTATAATCAATGAATTTCATAACTATAATTTAATAAAATAAAAAATTCAATATTAATAATATTAGTAATATATTTTTAAATATCATACATAATATAATTTATAATTAATACTATATTAATAAAATACTGAATTAAAATTAAAATATTACAAGAATATTGTTTATAATTATAAATAAAAGTATTATTAATAAAGATTAATTTTCTTCGTCGGTGTTACTGTCTTCATTGTCATTTTGCCCTTGATTATCACGCCCTCCAAATTGTTGCATAAACTGTTGAAAAATACGCATAGATTTCTCATATTCTCTAGTTTTTCTTCTCATTTCTTCCTCCATTTCTCTTTGTCTCTTCTTCAATTCTTCTATTTCAGCATTTCTCGCTTCCACTTCACGAGCAGCCTCAGTGCGCTAATGATCTCACAGTTTCCATCATGTCTGGGGTAAGTGAAGGTTGAGTCGATGATCCTTCACCATCAGTAATTTGCATTCTGAAACTCCTATCATGCTGCCGGATTGTTTTGACGAGACCTCTAGCACCATACACTCTCCCATTTTTCTTTTCCCACGAGATACATCATACCAAGTCTGAAAACTCAAACTAGGATCAGTGGGAAATCCCGGCGGAGGTGATGGATATTCAGGATGCTGTGATAATCTTAGGGCAAGCTGTTTTTCATAATCCTCCTATTAAAAAGAGTAGGTGTTATTGCAATTTAAATTATGCTAGACATAAAAGAAATAAATAAAATGACTAAGTTTAAGGAAAACTTACTTGAGTTTTTCTTGAGCGCTCATCAATAAAATCTCCTTTTTTTTTAAGATAGTCTCCTTATGGAGCTCATTAAGAAGCGGAGTTCTGCCCAACTCATCACGCTAAGTATATGACATAAAAAAATAGTTATAACATAATCTAAAACTGTTGAGTTAATTGAAAAAATAATTAAATTTATCATTCTCCGTGCAACATCAGCAACACTAGTACTACCATAGGCGTAGTTGCAACCGCAAACTTCAGAGGCTCTATTTTTCTTGGCCTTTTCAGATGCACTCTTAAAGGAATCAGAATTCCAATGGGCAATAAGCTGTTCAAATATATCTGGACTTATCTAACGGGGACGCAAACGTTTATTTTCCCAAGTAATTCTAACACGTCTCATAGTGTCAGAAAATCGTTGAGCATATTTAATGTTAAAATCATCTCTTATTTGGATATCATTTGGCTCACACTATGCATTGATGCAAACATTCTTTGCAACCTAGGTATTATTTGGCAGATAGAACATCAACTTCACTGCAACTCGTTTTTGCTTTCGATCAACGCCTTTATTGCAAACTAAATACCTGAGGCTCTTACAAAATTTACATTCCTCCAAAGCCCCATCATTTGTGCCAAACTCATTGTCATAGAATAGCATACAACCTTCAATGCAACAATTAATCTTTTTTACTTCTAATTCCAACTTCGACACCATCCTCTTTGCATCATAATAACTTGTAGGCATGCTTTCTTTCACAGGAGTCGTATCCAACATCATTTTTGCAAAGAACTCCAAACACTGATCTGGCACATGCCAATTTGACTTTGCAGCCAAGAGTCGCACTACACATTGAGAGCCTAGAGTCAGAAGATCCCTCAAAAAATGGTATATTTATCTCTTTCAACAACTGATAAAACTTTTGTGCATTCTCATTCGGAAGCTTTTCCGCATCAAAGTCTTCAGGTTATCGTAAGCCACATTGACCCCAAATGCGTCACTTACCATATCCTCTACTAGATTAAATTGCTCCTGGTATTGCATTTGTGCTTGACTACTCGACCATCTATATTTTTGTCTGGTCCAACACGTGTTTGATTGCTATAAGCTTCCCTATTCATCTCTGGCAATTTTTCTCCATTAGATGTCCAAACTCAATAATTTTGGCCTAAACCACACTCTCTCCAAGTGTTGTTTCACTTCACCATGATCACTGATTATATTTCTACAACCACACTTTAAGCATGGACATCTTACCCCTCCATCTCCACGACACCATTCGTGAGTAAACGCATATGTGAGAAACATATCAAGTCCTTCCTTAAATTGTGGTTTAAGTCCACGTCTTCCCGGAAACATTCTATCATACATCAAACTACGATAGAATTGATAATATTTCATACTGCATATTTATAATATTATTTATGTTTAAATTTATTAGACAAAAAGGAGAGTAATAATATATCAACAAATTTTTAAGATTTTAACAATAAATATACTTTAAACTAAATAAAAATACTAAATAACTATAATCATGCACAGTTTTTATTAATAATACAGTATACTAAATAAGTAAGTATACTATTTTTTTATTTAAATTAAATATATTATGTTTTATTTAAATTAAATATACTTTTTTTATATAAACTAAATATATTTTTTTCATATAAACTAAATATATATTTTTCATATAAACTAAATATACTATTTTTCAATATAATTAAATATACTATTTATAAATTAAATATATTATTTTTTTATATAAATTAAATATATTATGTTTTATTTAAATTAAATATTTACTAAATATACTAAATATTTAAATTACATATAAACTAAATATACCGTTTTTCTATAAACTAAATATACTAATACTATATAGATTAACTATATATTTGGTATATTTTATATAAACTAAATATACCTTTTTTATATAAATTAAATATATATTGTTTTTCAAAATAACTAAGTAAACTATTTATAAACTAAATATACTGTTTTTTTTTATATAAATTAAATATATTATATTTTATTTAAACTAAATACTTATTAAATATACTAAGTATTTAAGTTAGATATAAATTAAATATAATGTTTTTTCTATAAATTAAATATACTATTATGTCGATTAACTAAATATTTATTATATTTTATATAAACTAAATATATATTTTTTAATATAAACTAAATATATAATATTTTTCAAAATAACTAAGTATACTATTTATAATCTAAATAAACTGTTTTTTTATATAAATTAAATATATTATGTTTTATTTAAACTAAATATTTACTAAATATACTAAATACTTAAATTAGATATAAACTAAATATACTGTTTTTTATATAAACTAAATATATTATTATTTAGATTAACTAAATATTTGATATTTTTTATATAAATTAAATATACATTTTTATATAAACTGTTTTAATATAATAAAATATATAATATATAATATATTTTGCAATAAAAAATTTAATATATAAACTGTTTTAATAATTTATTTAATATAATAAAATATATAAGATATAATATATTTTCGGAATAAAAAAAAAATTATATATAAACTGTTTTAATATACTATTTAATATAATAAATATATTTTATATAATAAATATATTTTATATAATATATTTTCGGAATAAAAAAAATATAATATATAAACTGTTTTAATATATTTTTGGAATAAAAAAAAATATAAAATATATATTATATTTTCAGAATAACAATTAATTTAATATATAATATATATAAACTAAATCTAACATACATAATTATATCAACTAAATCTAATACATACCTAAATCAATTTAATTTACCTAAATGTAACATATAATTCAGAAAAAATTTCAATAAAAAAATAAAATAAATTACATACCTTATAAAGAAGCTTTATTAAACAAAGCTAGTGTTGATGGAGAAAAATATAATAAATACCTACGAATTTAATCCAACAAAAATTAAAATTTATAAAGTAATATAACAATATATATCTTAAATAATATATAGAAATAATTTTATTAGATTTGAAATAAAAAGTTAAAGCTTCCAATAGAGTAAAATGTAGAATTAATGGAGAAAAAAAATGAAGGAAAAAAGGAGGTCGAGAGAATTGCAGAGAAGAAGAAGAAATTGGGAGATTCTTTATGAAAGAAATGAAAGAGAAAGTGGAAGATATAATGCGTAAACTATATCAAACTTGACTTGGGGTTAACTACTCGCTAGGTGCCAAATGGTACCATAATTAGCTTGGGGTTAGCTCCTCGCTAGGTGCCAAATGGTACCATAATTAGCTTGGGGCTAGCTTCTCGCTAGCTGCCAACAAATGTTGTTTCACTGCAACACGCAAGTCAGTTCAGAGATGTAGCAGTGATGTGAAAATGGGTTTGGGATTAGCCCCTCGCAAAACTACTATTTTGCTGGCGAGGTGATGGCCCATCGCAAATGGTCAACGGCTATTATTTATGGCGAGGTGATCCCCCCTCGCTAAATGTTTTTCCTTTTTCCCATGTGCCACCCCCTTGCAAGCATCCAACAGATTTATTTTCAAACTCCTTCCTAAAATTTAGCTACGGGGAACTCCTAGTCAGACCAAATTTTAATTTTTTTTTAATGTTATTTAGACAGGGAATAACCCCAAACTAATGTTAAATTTAACTAGGGGCTTAACCCCTCGCCATTTGTCCCAAGCTAAATCATATTTTTCTTGTAGTGCTTATTTGTGTTAGTCTCATTTATAACCTTTTTATTCTGTGATTTTTACAGACGTCAGAGCTCATTTACAAGTTCCTTGTTACGAAACTCATTGTTGGCATGCCATTTAAGGTTTTGGTTACTAAATTGTATTCAATTAAATGTCATGTGGATTTAAATAACAAGTTATTTACGTAGTATGCATTGTATACTCAGGATTTGGCAACAGACACTTCAATCTTATTGCGGAAACTTCCTTCAGCAGATGATGTGACATCACAAATTGTTAAAAGGTTCTGCCAACAAAACAAGTTCATAATTATTTCGAAAAAATGCTACAACTTTTGTTTGCAATGAAATGATAGTTGCATAATTACGTTTTGTACGAATGAATGAAACTTTAGGTAGTTGCTTACGATTTAGGAATCAAGCATAATATACTATGATCTTCATGTGATGGAACATGGTTAAAGATTGTTCATCCAATTTAACATACTATGAGTAGAGAATAATAACTATTTATGGACAACATTTAGACAACTGCTGCATTTGTTTGTGTGGTTGGCATTTTAAATATGGTACAATTTGTTTTTGCATTTTATGCACTGTTCAGATCTGCTGCTGCCAAACTACATGCTTATTACATGTCAAATGATTCTGGCCTGTCGAGGACAGCAGAGAGCTCAATATTGCGATCATTGGTCTTGGAAACTTTGGTAAGTGACTTGCAAAAATGTCGCGGCGAACACTTTTAGCAATAGAATAGATTTATTGATAACATCGATATTTCTTAAACACTTGCAAATACCTTATATAATAATGCAATTTCTTGGTTCAGGGGGGCCTTATTGCTACAGATTTCTTGGTTCAGTGGAAGAGATAGTAAATAATTATACCTAGGAATCAATTCCTAGAATCAATTCCTATATCATAAGATTGCAAATTTGGATATGTTGCATATGAAGATTTGGAGTAACCATGAAACTAATTCCAAATAGATTATGGAAATGATGTGCAATTTTGGCTAATCATGATACTACTGATTTTGACTCAGTAAATTATTAACTATGTTTCCCCCTTAGAATTATGTTTTATTTTAATTTTTGTGGTTTTGGTTTTATAATAATATTATGACTACTATATTTTTTATGGAGATCATTAGATATCGAGGGAAAAGTATGACCCATTAAAAGCACTTCAATATATTAGTGAGTTTAACAAATCAAGCCTTTAGACAATATGTTATATACAATTGGTGATTCAATATTTTATATTGATAACTTAAAAAATGATCATCTTTTATGGTTTCTACAATGAGTGTGAACTTGTTGTTATTGTGATTTAAAATTGTTGTCCAACTTTTCACAGTATTGGCTATAAACTCTTCAAACAACTTCATCAAACAAGGTCTTAAGTTCCATCACTTGAGGTTTTTCGATTTGGTTCAGGTTTTAAAGAAAGCAGTAGCAATTTTAATTCTAATTTGTGAATACTGACAATTGTCTCAAATATATTAATAATTTAAAATTTAAAAAAATTTATATATACAAATGCATGGTATTATCTATTTAAAGACTAAATGATTTTTATTAGATAACTTACAGAAATTTATACAAAACTTAGATAACTTACATAGATTAAATTTTTTCTTAAAAAATGATATATTCAATCTTTAAGTAAACAAATATATCAACAATAAATGATTTATTATTTGAAGAAAATATTTTATGTATACCACTAATATCAAAAACATTTTATAATTGATTATAATATTATTATAACTTTATTTGAAAATTCTAAGTAATTCTAAAATATATATTTTTACTTTATCAATGTTTAACCCGTGTCTCGCACGGGTATGAATACTAGGATTATTTATTCGAATTTAAATGAAATTAAATAATATATGAAAGTGGAATATTTTTTATTTTTGTAAAAAACAAATAATTTAAAACAAATGATTATATAAATGAATTTAGATTAGTAAAAATAAATTTATTTTAATCAAAATAAATAATTTAAATAAGTTGTTTAAAAAGGCTAATGTTAGTATTTAAAAAAGGAAAATAATGAGATAAACTTAAAGAAATTATTTTGAATTATCTTGACTTTAAGAAAAATAAAACAGATAAATTTAAGGTATGACATACGTCACTTTTGATTTCCATGCTCTGCACAATTATCTAAGAATTTTGAGTTTCACTATTTTTTAATGTTTTTCCAAGAGCCACCAAATGTTTTGTCAAGTGTGTAAATCTCTTCTGCAAATTAAGTATATTTTCATGGAATAGTATCTCGTACCATTCATATTCTCGAGATAAAGTGTTCAATTTTGATCTTTTGACTTTTTCGATTCCTTCATGTGCTACTTCCAATGTATCCCAGATTTCCTTGGTTGTTTTGCAATTTGTCACTCCAAATAATTCGCTCATTTCTAAGGCAGATGCAATTATATTTTTTGCCTTTTTGTCATACAACACTTTCTTCTTATTGTCATAGTTACAAAAACCTTTTACCTTTGTTTGTTCACATTATTTATGAAAGTTGTAGGAATGGTCTCCTCGTGACAACATCCCATATTTCCCCTTTGTGCTTCTAATTACACTTGCACACGAATTTCCAAAAATCATAGTATTCACCAACAAAGCATGGTGGTTTGTTGGTGTTGCCACCATGTGCTAATAACGGTTTTACGAAAGTCATATCTACATAAGTCGAGGAGCAAATTACTTTAATCTGCTTTGATGCCAATTGTAATTATGAGATGCAACCTAAGATGAGGGTGAATTTAGGTTTCCCGTTTTTTCTCGTTTTTGCACCAAGTGCTTAATTTTCTTTGAATATGATAAAGATATGTTCTTAGCAATATAAAGTGCATAAAATTAAAAAGATAGAGAATAAATGAACACAAGAAATTATCCTAGTCCCCCTTATCAACCAAGGGTGCATCTAGTACATTCACATATTAAAAGATTTTCCACTATTTTACAAACTTTCTAACATAAACACCAAACCTACGGTGGAGTTTGAATATCCATGAATCAAAAGACCTTTTCCAAAATTATTAAACATTATGATGATTCTCACATAAACACTACTTTCCGTTTACAACACTTAGAAATCACCCCAATTTCTATTAGAAACACTTCCTAGAAAGCAAATCAATTTATTTTTTACAACACTTAGAGAAAGCACGCAACATTCATTAACAATTATTTGTCACCGCACATTGGTGTATAAGTTACAACAATATGATAAAAAGATACTGAGTAACAATGATTTTGGACACTTTAGAAAATTCCCTTTCCAATAAACAATTCATAATTATATAGAACTTAATTGCTCAAAGGTTTGATGAAACTCTTCTATATGAAAATTATGCATAAAAGGCTTCAATGAAGTTTAAGATTAAACACTTGAAATTTGAATGAATAGTTTGAAAATTTGAATGAAAGAGGTCATTTAAAAACTAATGTATTTTGCCTTAAATACATCATAAGAAACCTCTATGAATAGATGCATAAGTTTGAGACATTTTCATGAAGGTTTGAAATAGTTTGAATGACAATGGTTCATGAAAAACACAATTCAGCATTATGTATCCGATTTCTTAAATCAGTTAAACAATCACCTGATTTAAAAAGTGCATAATGGTTTTCAAATTTCAAACAGAACCAGTTTCTTAAATCGGTTAATCAGTTACCTTACTTAAAAAGTGCAGATTCAACGTTAAAACTTTTGGAATAATGGTAATGTAATCGATTACACCAAAAATGTAATCAGTTACCACCCTATAAAATTTGAAAAATATATTTTACAAAGGCTTAAATTGAGTGGTTTTGATGCATGAATGCTTAGGAACATTAGAGATGAAAAGATGAACAAATTTTTTAGCATCTAAGGATATTCATAATATTAATTGTATTTGAATACATTTACTTCGTGATCAATCTTTTTTAAATCAACATCCGGTGATTATTGTAATCTTGAAATTTGATTGAGCTAGACTTCAACCTTTTTCTTTTTTAATAAGGTTTTGTCTTCATTAAAGTTAAACAAATATAGATGATGTATATCTTCTTCACAATCTTTTCCCAAGGACAAAGGCTATAATGATGGATGCTTCCCTCTAGGCTTGTCTTCCTACTCCAATCTTTACTCAAGTGGAGGTGATGACGGACCATACCTCTACAAGCATTAAGGAATTACCTACTGTCCAGGACCCGCCAACTCATCATAAATAGGATGAAAAGAAAAGTAAAAGGTCCAATGATCAATCTTCTTCAACGGGTGGTGGTAATATTAAGCGGGGCCGGGATAAGAATCATGTTGAGGAAGAAGTTAAGAATGATGGATGATTTTTAATCTTTTTAATTTTGTTGAGGATCCATGTAACTTACTTTTAACAAGCTTTCGTCTCATGGCATTTTGGTTGTTTAACTTTGCCTGTGTGCTTTACTGTTTTTTGTGTTTCATTGCTTGTTTATATGCGAATTTGTTTTATTTCTTTATTCACCTAAGATTTTGTTTCATCACTAATCCACCTATGATTTTTTTATTCATTTTTTGAATATGATTTTGTTTCATTGTTTATCCACGTACAATTTTGTTTCATTATTTATTCACCTACAATTTCGGTTCATTGTTTATGGGCTTTTATGGCTTGTTTATACTTACTCGTCCCTTTTGCTGGTAACTGATGTAAGCTTTGACAATGAAGAAGACCATTACTGACCAAAGTTCGTTCTTCTCCCATATCCCTAAGTTTTAGATTGGTTCAAGTACAAACTATGTTGACTTCATCGCCTATGATATGGAGTGTCTAACTATCAAGATGGGGTGTGCATTTATCACTTTGTGAGCAATAAATGTCTTCAATACCTACTTTAATAAAATTTATAATAATTCTAACAAATAGCATTATATTATTCGTATTAAAATATGACACGGGAGTTTGAGTAACTACAATCTCTAGGGACTTTGGAATATTTAGTTGTAATTTCATTTGAGTTTTGTAGCATTCCATATCTTTCATCTTCAGATTTTCAAATTTTGTTTAGAGGATTTAAAGTCTTGACTTACAAACCTTCAAAGTTCCTTCATGAGTAGTTTAGAGAGTTACCTAAGCTTATTTGGTGATGGAGCAAATGTTGAGGATTCTAAAGATATTATTGTCAACTCCATTATAAATGGCATTAGGGGTAGTGAGTTTCTGAGTACTTATTCATGTTATTCATTGGACTAATCATTCTCAGGCTTCAAGGTTTCATTGTTGTCTTTAGCTATAATCTTTAGAGGAGTCCATCCATTTCTTACTTTTTCCAATTCTTACAATCCATATACTCGAGAAAGAAAGTCATGCGAGCTTTCCAATAATCATAATTTATAACAACAAGAATAAGTGGTTGAATCACATATTCCCCTTCTTTAGCATTGTCCATTTTGAACAAGATATAGATAAAACCTTATAACCCACCTAACTAGAATATGGAGCCTACTCTTATATCAATTGAAATCTTGTTCTACTGACGAGAAGATGTTAGACACAATGTTGGAACATTGTGTATGAAAATAATTACGTGTAACAGGAAGGAAAAATACATAAAATAAATAACACATGAATGTTAAATATGTGACTCCACACACAAGAGGAAAGATAAATTGCGGGGGTTTGAAAAACATTAGTTTTAAACAAGATTGTTTTCTAAATAAGAGTTTAAAAACATTTTAAAGAATTAAATATTGCAGCGAAAAATCAATACAAATAAAATATGTAAAAAGTAAAAAAGATAAGGGAAAAGAGATGACACCGTGATTTATAGAGGTTTGGTCTAAATGAAGTGATTTAATCCTTCACCCAATAACTGATCTTGAGAGTTTCCA